GAAACCTCAAAAGTTTCTGCCAGACATCCTGGGCAAGGCTGAGATTAGTCAGATTTGGTATACTATAAAGGAACCTTGAAGCGACCTTGGAGATCATCTAGTCCAAGTGTTTTTCGAATTTGGCAACTTTTAAGATGTGTGTACTTCATTCTCCAGCATGCTGGTAAAGAACTCTGGGAGTTGAAGTTCACGCATCTGAAAGTTGCCAAGATTGAAAAAAAATATTAATCTAGTCTAAAAGGTGCTTCTTTACGAGGCAACTGAACTTTCTGTTTTCTTTTTTTTCAAGACAGTTTGAAGACATTTTGCTTCTCATCTAAGAAGCTTCTTCAGATCTGACTGGATAGTGGGGAATGGAAGGATTTATACTCCTTGCAGACAGCTGGTCATTTGCATCCTTTTTAGAGAGTTGTTGAGGCCACTTGGAGGTTTATCTGTGTCCTCAGGGTCACCTGAGTGGTACAAATTGGAACTGTTGAAAGGACTCTGTTGTATACTGGAGATAGATGATGTCTTATCCCTCCCCCTCTGTTGAGGAAGGGCTGTTCAATTGTGACATAGGTGGCTCTTCATCTTGCTGTCTGCAAGGAGCATAAATCCTTTCATTCCCCACCATCCAGTCAGAACTGAAGAAGCTTCTTGGATGCGAAGCGAAACGTCTTCAAGGAAAAACAAAGAAAGTCCAGTTGGCTCTTGAAAAAGCACCTTTGGGACAACCATGATCTGGATGGCTAAGAATCTCCATAGAAATTAATCTAGTCCACCTTCCAACTTGCCACTGCAGGAAATCCACTTCTGTAATCCCCCCCAATTGCTGGGTATCCAGCTCTGCTTTAAATATCTCCACCAAAGGAGCATCCTCACCTCCAGAGACCTTCTGCTGTTGTTGCTTTTATTTTCTATTTTATTTTTTAGTCCTTTTGAATCATTATTGACTCCTAAAGCACCTGCTTGAGTGCTTGCAGGTTTCTTGGCAGGATTTCCTTTTCTTAAATTTTTTTAAATAAAAACAATCCATCTTCCATTAAACAGTGTGTCCTCTGGGTACAAATATCTTGTGCAATAACAATTAAAATTTACAACCATCCTCATTATTTATCTGCTCGTGACTTAATGCTGATATACACAACATATCTGACACTATAACAACCCTCTTCTTAAATTATTTAATTCTATTAATACATTTTCTTTTTAAACAATATATATGTTTATTTATTTACAAACATACAAAATACACACACACACACAAAACACAAGACATACACTACATTTACATAATACAGTACGGACAGGAACTTCCTGTTCTTTCTAATAGCAATTGCCAATCGATACAAGTCTCCTTATGTTATTTCCCCTTCTAGTATATTTCATTTGCATTTCACCATTTTTAACCCTCTTATTTTACTCATCTATCTGNCTGACTATCTGCAATTGTTCACCTTCTCCAGGAGATGTCCCCTTCTCCTGCCCTGCTCCCAAGTGGGAATTGCAAACTTCCCCCTCCTTCCCTCAACTCCCCTTTGCTCACTCAGCGTTCCCCCTTTGCTCCACCCCCTCGACTATTTCAAGCTAAGCAGGAGCCCAGCGACTTCCGTTCCAGGTTTACTGGAGCTCCGTCAGCCTTTCCCAACCTTCTCTGCCCTTCCAGGAGCCCCTTAGACCTTCCGACATGGCTTGTCCCCTCTTTCTGGAAGGGGAGAATTGTAAGCCTTCTTGGAAGGAAGCCGCAGCGGGCTACAATCCAGAAGACACTCACTTGGAAATCATGGGGAAGCCGGTGATGGAGCGTTGGGAAACCCCCTACATGCACGCCTTGGCCAGCCTGGCTTCTTCACAGGGTAAGGTCAACAACCCCCCCCCCCCCGGGATGTGTTCTGCAGCCTCCATGCAGGTAGGCCTCGACTTACGACCAAAACCGAGACCGAAATTTCCGTTGCTAAGCGAAACTTTGGCAAAGTGAGGTTTGGCCCCGTTTGGTGGCCTTTCTCACCGCGGTTGTTAAGTGAATCGCTTCAGTTGTTAAATTAGCAGGATACTTTTTAAATGGATGTGGCTTCCCCGGATTGATTAGGAGGGACCTTGGAGGTCTTCTAGTCCAACCCCCTGCTCAGGCAGGAAACCTTACGCCAGTGAGGGGCGAGCATTTTTGTCCTCATGTGCCAAGAGTGTCCGTGCGCGGAGACAGTGCGTGTGCCCACACCCACAATGCAATGTGCGCACAACACCCCCGCATGCACTGCCCTACTGCGCATGTGCGCATGAGTCCCATGCTCTCCCGTGCATGCGGCATTCTCCACCCTGCACCCCGTTTTGGGCCTAGCAGGCCTCCCTGAAGCCTCCTGGGACCAAAAATGAGGTGTGTGCTCCCCCTACCCCTCCGCACATGCGCACACAATGCCCTGCACATGTGTGCACAACCTCCATCTCCTGCGCATGTATGTGCAACCCTGCACATGCATGCGTGTCTCCCACGTGTGGCAGAGAGCTGATAATCAGCTGGCAGGAGGCACACACACATGCACGGTGGAGCTGAGATGGGGTGATGGCTCATGTGCCGGCAGAGAAGCCTCAGTGTGCCACCAGTGGCACATTTGCCAGAGGCTCGTCATCACGGCCTTATACTGTTTCAGACAAATGGCTATCCAATATCTTCTTAAAGACTTCCAGTGTTGGAGCATTCACAATTTCTGGAGGCAACTTCTGTTCCACGGGTTAATTGTCCTCACTGTCAGGAAATTCCTCCTCAGTTCTAAGTTGCTTCTCTCCTTGATTAGTCTCCACCCATTGCTTCTTGTCCCGCCCTCAGGTGCTTTGGAAAATAGGTGCCAGGAAGTCACAGAAGGTGATCACATGACCCCGGGACACTACAAAGACCATACAATTGAGTCATTTCCCAAGCGACTCAACTTGGATCCTATGATCGTGGGAATTCTGCAACAGTCGTAAGTTTGAACAACTGTCAAGAATCCCACCCGAGTGCTGAACTGATGCACACGGACATCACGAGCGCACCGGCCCACCACTTGCGCAGCCTGGTTCCCCTCTCCCCCTCCACACACACCCCCCAGCCAGGCAGCCAAGCTGCAAAGGTTAGGGACTAGTATCTTACTCCTTCTCTACCCTTTGTATCCCATTGCTTATTCTGATAGGGGATAGCATGATGGGTAGTGTTTCTCAACCTTGGCAACTTGAAGATGTCCGGACTTCAACTCCCATTCGCTGGCTGGGGAATTCTGGGAGTTGAAGTCCGGACATCTTCAAGTTG